CCCCAAAACCCCAAAACCCCAAAACCCCGATAAAGAGCTTTCCTATTGAACCTTTGTAAAATATAAAAGTTTAAAATCAAATATGTCAGAGTTTAACAAAGAAGGCAGTACTCCTCTAATGTTTACAAACCAAAGCCCAATGCTGTAAGTTGGTGAATAAGCATTATAAAATTATAGCATTTATTTTTATCATTTTCATATATTCTTATTTAACAATTAAAGATTTCCCCTTAGGGTACTTTTTAATCTAAATTCATTCTGATATACTCCGTATTATCTCTTATTCTTACTTTTTATCCTCTATGTGCTAGTTTTGTTGAATTTCTCACTGTATATATAGAGATAACCTTCATATGAGTGGAGGAATGTTTAAACAATCACCATTAACACTCAACATGCTGTCTCAGCTAAGTAAGTTACCTTAACTCAATGGCGGCTCATGAGCATTCTTCCTAGTCGCTGCTTGTTAAAGGAGTGTTCCTAACAAGTATGAGGACTCAGAAAGTTGTTCTTAAATTCTTACCTTTAAAAAATCATTGGTTGGGTTTTCAAGTGATTTCTAAATTTTTAATTTATTGCCCAATGAAAATTAAGCAATGACGTCAGTTTGCTTTAGAATATTATTATACTCTAGTTAGTCTTGTTACGTATCTGAGTTCTCTGCAGAAAAGTCTCAGAGGGATTCTTTAAATATCTTTGGTGTTTATTGGTGCTAATTATGATTTTATAGTGAATATCAGCTCGCCTCGTAAGTGATCCATTGATACCATTTTGGGCCGACATCATCTTTTAATGGATAAATTATCCTAATCCTAGCAAAATTATTTAAAACAACTAGGGTATAAGAAAAGAGCCGAAACTACTCTCTCAGTGATAGAGTCGTGTTTATGACGACTCTACGACCCTCTTGATAAGTCGGAGTGTTTATTTCAATTTATTGTATATCTAAGATTCTTTAGCCATGCTTGAGAATCTTGGAGACGATTCAGCAAAGAAGCTATCACCTGATAAAAAGAAGATGGTCAAATTTACTCCAAAAGCATTCAGCCCAGGTTTGTTAATAACCAGTAACGCTTTAGTAATGGAGTCTCCAACCCCTCTCAACATGCTATCATCAAGCTTGATGGCTAACATTGGAAGCGGGTTAGGTCAAGGAAATGTTGGGTAAATTAAATATCTAATTTCTATAGAAACAGTGCATTTTTGACTGCTTCAAAATTTGCGCAAGATAGTTTCAGAACTCCTGCATTTAACAAAGCTCCATCACTGCTTATCCCAAAAGTTACCCCAAAGGCTGAATCTGTAAACTCAGCTTCAAAGATATCCAATACAGCAAAGGAGGAAGTGTACAAATCTGAGACTTCCTCAAACACAAAGCTTCTTAATGATTTCAAGAGTAGAAAATTTTCACACAAGGATGAAAAAATCCCTCTCCCATCAGTTTTTGGAGATGGAATAATCTATGTCTCCGCGAAGAGATATAAGAGAATCTTGATCAGAAGGAAGAAGCGCAAGGCTGAGAAAAGGTTCACCACCATAGCTCATCTTTAGACTTGTCCCAAAACCAAAGACTAAGACAAAGAGAGAACCGATGCACCAGAGTCGTAGCAAGCTTGCCAAGAGAAGGATCAGAGATGAAAATGGCAGATATATCCCCATCAAGTAAGTTCAGACTGGTTATCCTTTAGGACTGATGAAGACAAGAAGAATAAAGTGTAAGGTCACCATAGGAATTTTATAGAAAATGTACAAGAGGAAGAAAATCTCGGAAATACTATGAACTGATGGAAAGATTCGAAAATGAAGGAAATACAGAGATGATCGAAAAGCTGAAGGTGCATGGGACCAAAGGACTTGACTTATCGAAGTACGAATAACTTAATTACCGTATCTATATAGCCTATTCCTAAGCTTTTGTATTCCTTAACTCTCCTTGATGAAATTGAGTGCTTATTCAATCTCTGTTTGAATCTCAGGGGTTTTGGGGTTTTGGGGTTTTGGGGTTTTGGGG